TATATTTTCCATATTCTATCAAGTCACATTTAATATTTTATAATTAAATAAATATATTTGTAAATCAAATGTCACAACAAATGTATAGATTATATAAATTCATTTTCAGAATGTAATTAATTGAACAAACTTGTCCAATTACATTTTTTTTGTTTTGTGAATACCACAATGAATTTAGCACTACTCAGCAAATAGTAGAAAAGAAAAATTAAATGTGTTAATTACATGTTGCTTATTATCTATGATGTTCAGAGGCCTTTCTTAAATGCTTTATACACACACACACACACGGCATGCTGTTCACTACCTTTGTGGGATGGGAGTACCTTGATTTTTAGTGTTTGCCAATTCCTAAGGTACAATTACTAGTAATATCAATCTATCATTGTGATGTCAGTAAATTTAAGTTGGAAAGATAGGCAGTAAGACATTGTTATATAGCTCCTCTGCTGTGTAAATCCCAAAAATATAAACTCTTTTAGAGCATAGCACTGTGTAGTAGCTTTGGTATTTACCACAGTGCTTTTAGCAATTTAATTGTAAGAGTACATAGTTAATATTTAATAATGTTTGCATTTAACAGCAGAGTAGTAAAAATGCTGAAAATTTTCACAGGCAACTTTTGCAAGAAGATATCAGTCAGTCCCAGCAGACTACGGGAGAGTCCCTGTTCTAAACATGGACACAATGACGTGATTCTTCTTATGTTTGTAGCAGTGAAAGAGGTTCAGCAAAGTTACTATTTGCCCCTCAGATACAGAATGAAGACTATATATCTCTCTCCTCTCATCTTTTTCCTCCTAGTAGATGGACACAAACACTACCTGTGATTCTTGATCTCCTCCCTTCATGCATCCCATTTATTCACTGGGTCATGCCAGGTTTATGTCTCCCTTACACTGGGAATCCTATTTCCATTTCTATACTACAACACAAGTCCCCATCATCTCCTGCATGGATCAGTAAGTTAGATTGTCCATTGGTCTGCTTGTTTATACTCCAGCTAGGACTGTTTTATGCAAAAGGCAAATCAGAGCTCTGGCTTATACCAGTGTTCTTGACATTGTTGTAGACACATTATTTTCTGCATAACAAATGCATATTCTCATAACAAAGACGTAACAGTTGCATCATCTCATGCATGCTTAGATCCGAGAATCTCCTTAGTCTTTTTAAAGGAAAGCTATTTAAAATATGGAATTCTAAATACTTAAGGAAAAAAAAACAACAGAAAAACAAGCAGTAACCAGAAAGATGGTCTGAACTACTACTAAGACCACAACCTGCATTTTTCTTGGTTTCTCTTTACAGAGAGTTGGGTTGCAATCTCCTGAAGTTCAAGGCTCTGTCACTTCAAATTTGCATCCCTGGTGACAGCACAGTCTTGCAGTCTTGTATATAGACAGAAAAACATAGTTGAATATGACACACTAAGACCTTAATTTTATACACACACACACACGTATATATACATATATACGTGTATATATATATATATGTGTATATATATATGTATATATACGTGTGTGTATATAAAATGTGTATGTATGTGTGTGTGTTGTGAATATATATCTATGAATATATATATATGTATATATATATATGTATATATATATATATATATGTTATTATATACTATTATTATTACTATATTTTATATATAATGTAGTATACATTTTTATATGCTATATATTTATTTTTTAACTTCTAGAGATGAAAATATCTAAAGAAGGACATGCCACAAATGACATTTCAAATGAATTCTCTAGAACACCATTCTGGGCACTGAATGGTGATGAACAGGTTGAGGCCCTAAGCACAGCCATCTCCCTGAGCAGTGAGAGGTCTATGCAGACCACACTGCACTCAAGGTATGACCTAGGGCCAAAAGGAGTGAGCACACAGCTGTCAGAGTGCTGAGAGTAGGAAAACTAATTCTAATTGAAAGGACACAAAAAAGTCACTCAGGATCAGTAGATGGCATAATGGTTACATTGCTGGACTCCTATGTAGTCAACTGTGGTTCAAGTCCTGGACCCAGTGGCTTGAAATTCAAGCTGGGCACATGCTCATGTATGCACAAAATCCTAAGAGCAAAATAGAGGAGAAGCCACTGGAGTGTGTTCATTCATCCTGGGGGGTGATTTCTTGCTTTATGTCTCTGTCTCTCTCTGGCTAGCACACACGCACTATGGCAAAAATCTCTCTCCAAAAATAAATAAATAAATAAAGCAGAGAAACAGACATAAATGTGGAAAGTGAATGATGGAAAGTAGGCTGATAGATTGGCTGGGCATCTTCAGTAGAAACTGTACTGGACTAAAAGGTTATATAACAGGCATATTGCAGAATAAAAAAGAAAAATTAGAAAGGGTAATGGTATCAATATATAAGTTATTTTTATCCTTTGTTCAGTAAAGTCTTGCAATTTTGAACTTCCCTTCTCATGTGTGTATTTAGATGTGTGTATGGAGATATACACACGTACACATATATGCACATGCTTGCAAAGGAATACAAATATTGACTATGTTACCTAATATCATGAAAGAAAGAAAAATAACATATTTGGGGGGGAGTTTTTTTGTTTTTTCCTTATGAAGGCTGAAAATAGCTTACTTAAAAGTGTTTCACACAGTTAAGAAAATAACATTCAAATACCATCTTTGGTTTGAAGACTATTAAAAAAGGAAATGAAAGCAGATCATATCAGCCAGACATAATAGAAATTAAGAGTTATTTTTAATGCTCAAATCATGAGAGTGTGAAACTGGCATTGAGGAAATTAAAGCACAGAGAGGTTAAGTAACGTGATTGTATCACAGTTCTCAGCCAGGCGAATATCTCTGTAACTATAACGGTCAACTCTGAAGACTTACGATTAAACATTATCATCTAAAGGTTATTTTTTGTACATAGAAAAAATTATTCTATGATTGCAGTGTTTTTTATACACTCCTATGTCCCATTATATTATTCAAGACTTAAAAAATATTATCTATAAATATCGGTGTGTCAAGATTAAGCTTGAAATATACATAAAATACAATTTCCACCACTATTAAAAGATGAAAGAATATGCACAAAACATAAACACCAGGAAAGCATTTAAAGCTAATCTGTAAAACAAAATGCTCTATAGTACATTAACTTAGATTTATTCAACTTTATCTTAAACAAGTGGATTTCGCTATTATGTTTTGAAAAATGAGCAATCTCCGAACCAGACTCGTCGAAATACTGTCTTTTCCTACAATAAGTCAAAAGAAATAATAAATATTTATTATTTCTTTCAATAACAGGGCATGTATTTATTCATAGGAAATCAGTTAAGGCAACAATCAGTAATTTCCTCTACATAAGCAGGATCGTAGAGAACCAATTTTAATAGAGGGTTTAGACAAATATATTGCAGTTGGAGAAAGATGTCACCTGTCCATGGAATTACAAAGTCTCTTTGCTGAGATCCATCAGGCTTCCTGAGACTGAACACTTTCTTCCTCACTTGGGGACTAATGCTAAGTGGCATTTGGGGGGCTTCCTTGTAGAATCATGTGGGTAGTAAGCGTTATACCAATGACCGATCTCAAGAATTTACCCAGGATCTTCATTAGAAACATGACAAACGTGTTATTGTGAACTATTTCAGACTGTTTGGCAAAAATAAACAAGCACCTTGGATCTAAAGTTTTCAGAGAAAGGGCAAGAAAAAATAAAGAAGAAAAATACCAGCATCGACAATTTCAGAAATCCTTCAGTGCACAGTAAATCCAAACATGACGGCACGATGAAATGACAATATGTATTTTAAATACTTTTTGACAGAGAAACTTATTAAATTTTCATAAAAATCATACTAAATCGGTACAGCCCATAAATTGTGCAGATAAACACAGTCAGTTAGAAGACCAGTTGCACTTGCTTTTCTTTATCCTGAAAACGGTATTTCCCTAATCTACAACTGTTTTTGTAGTTGTTTTAGTTCAAATATAGGGAACCTCAGAAATAAGCAACAAGTCCTAGATGCAAAAAATTGTAGTAAGTATTTACATCATGGGTTCTCAGGTTTTTCATGGTTTCTCCTTAGAAATTTGCATTTATGAGTCAGGCTGGTGTCTGTGGCATTCATTTTGGTAGCAAGTGGTCCTCATGCAAATGACCGGAGAGCCAGCTCTTTCAAAATGCTGCCTGAAAGGAAACTCTATCTCCAATAACGGTTTCAGGCTGCCAAGATTTACTTAAACATAGAACCCACAAATTAAAGTTTCTGCAGATTGAAACCAAAGCAGCATACTTTGTCCTGTCTAAAGTGTGAGGTAGAGAGGGATTTGTAGGGACATTTGTTTATGTTGGCTGTTCCCAAATTTGGATGCACATTAAAATCCCCTGGGAGTTTTCAAAATTGGTAATAATTAGAGTCCAGTCTGAAAAAACTTGATTTAATAGATCTGGGGTTGGGGTCCTTGTGGATTTTTTAAAGTATCCTACATGAAGTACTCTGAGGCCAGCAGATGGCATAGCAGTTACAATGCTGGACTCTCAGATGGCCCAATGCAGTTTGAATCTAGGACCTGGTGGCTTGAAACTCATGCTGGGCACATATTCTTGCCCAAGATCCCGAGAGGAGAATGGAAGAGAAGGGCTTGTGATGTAATCATTCCCCAGGGGGATAATTTCTCATTTTCCCTTTCACTGTCTCTCTCTCCAGTAAACACACAAACCCTAAGGCAAAAACCTCTTAAAGAAAAAAAAAAAGTACTTTTTCTGTTTGGCTTTTAACAAAGAGATCATCTTGCCTAAGAAACAGACTCTGTACTAAATATCTGACCGTCAATATTCTCCAAATGTCCTTGAATATTTTACAAAGGTAACCATCTTCTTCCTATTTCCTAGTCATTCAATGAATTCCAGATCCTACTCAGATACACACTGGTGATTATGTAGAATGGACTTCAAAGACAGAGATGGAAGTTATTTTTCAGAACAGAAACAAAATGTACCTTGCTTTTTGCCCTTGTGTCTGGAACCTTAGCGGTGATCGTCCTGGGTGGAAGTAGCATCTGAGTTGGATTTGTCGTCATTAGACTCAAAGGGGGTGGCTGATCACGGAAAACAGAGGAGAGGCAGAGTTGTACGGTCTCTTTCATTGCTTTCATCTGTGACTCCTACAAAATGAAAAAAAAAAAGAAGCATAAACTTTACATTTGGTTCTGATCATCACCTCTCTGCTTCCAAGGTCACCTTCCTCCTAGCCTATGCTCACTCCCTACAGACATACATAGCAGTTTTCAGATGGAATTGTCCCTGTATACATTTCACTATAATATACCATATAATCCACACTCAGTCTGCTTCTACTAGTTAAAATATTTCATAATATATTTTGAATATCCAAATTCTGAGATGTGTCTCATTTTTTTCCCCTTGAATTGACATCATTTCCACCATGATAATTTGCTGCAAACAAAATATACTCTAATACATGCTAAAGTATAAAATGTCTTTCTTAGAAACCTGCCATCTTTCTTTGGGCCATTGGCCTTCTTCATTAAGAATCACTCCCTTGCAAAGCCCTGCATCTCTCAGATGAGAATGTAGTGCCACTCAATTTCTCTGCCTAATGGGAAAAAGGAATTTCTCTCCCATAAAACTCTTATTTCCAAAGGGCCAACAGAGCCCAACAGAGCCCATCTGATGTGACAATAAATAATAATATTAACACTATTTTACTATTTTACATTAGTAGAGAATAACATTCCAAGCATTTTACTATGTAAGAAGTAATTTTATGATTTCCTGTGAAACTGGTATTATTTTTTACTATGAAGAAAAGATTAGAAGTTTTCACATGTACATAATTCTGATTTAGACTACAAGGTGGAATGACTATTGTAGACAACCATTGTTAACTTGCATTTAATTCCCAGCTTCCATTATTAAGCACATATTTAAATGCTAAATATTAAATGTAAATATATATATATATATATTTGTAAATACATATATATTTGTAAATACATATATATTTGTAAATATATATATTTGTAGATATATATATTTGTAAATATATATATTTGTAGATATATATATTTGTAAATATATATATATATGGCAAGGGCTGATAAGACAATGTAACATTATGTCCACTTAGGGACATAGGATGTGCACTTCAGGCCAGAAGAGATGAGGTTAGTCACTGGGCCCAAGATCTATGGACAAACCAGGATGTGTGGAGTTTACCGTTTCATGTACCCATGGGTCAATGAAGCTGCCTGGCAAAATAGAACACTCCAAATAAATCTTTCATTTTACATGCCGCACCCAGAATACCCCTCATAGAGCATTCACTCCCTATTTTTTGTTTCTTTACTATGAAGCCCTCATGTGCCACTCTTTGAGAGTTGACTTAGACCCTCCTCCCAGCCTGTCACGGTGCTCTCTGATCTTACACAGTAAATGGTAATACTAATTTTTTTTTCTTTTTTTTGGAGAGGTTTTCGCTATAGGGCGCGTGCGCTCGCCAGACAGAGACATAGAGACAGAAAGCGAGAAATCACCCCCCAGGGGGGATGGTCACGCCGCAATCCCTTCTCCTCCATTCTCCTCTCGGGATCTTGGGCACGCACGCACACGTGCCCGGCGTGAGATTTAAGCCACCGGGTCCGGGATGCGAACCGCAGTCAACTACGTGGGAGTCCAGCGACATAGCCATTACGCTAACTGCTGGTTCCCGAGGTAATATTAATTTTTAAGATGAGAATGTCTACTGAGATGATAGATGTTCAAGTAAGCTCTCTCTTTTGGTCATGTCAGGAAATTAAAACAACAACCAGAAAACAAAGTAGCAATAAAAAGAAACTGGGAATTTCTTAGAAAGAAGACAGACACGCATTCCTTCTCATTCCTCTCAGACTGTGAAAGACAAAACGAAAACCTCACAAGGACTAGGAAGAAGGAGGGCTGAGAAGTAGGTAAGAAGAGGCTAAACTGAATGATGATATTTAATAACTCAATTTATAAAAGTATTTATTCAATTTTATTTATCTCTCTCTCCTTGTTTTTTTTTTTTTTTTTTTTTTTTTTTTTTTTTAATTTTCTCTTTCACTAGAGAAAGAGAAAGAAAGTAAAAGAGCAAACCACCAGGACTAGGATTCAAACCGTAGTCAACTATGTGGGAGTCCAGTGCCTTAGCCACCACTCCACATGCTGGAACTAGGAATTCAGCTTCTTATACAAAATGGTCTTTTTGATGTACCTGCCTTAGTCCTTGGATTCTTGCCCCTCCCTCATCTCATTATTTTCTATTATTGATCTTCTTACTGTCTTTTGTATAATTTATCTCTAATTTTCAATGGAAATGTATATACGCACTTCTAAGTTGCTAATATTTAATATAATTCCTAATGCATTAGAAGGAACTCAACCAAAGGTTTTTGAATAAATGACCTAAATCAAAATATTGTTTCTGAATTTCTGAGAAGGAAATTTACAATTCTGTTTTTTTTTTTTTTTTGAGTAAAAATTAATACAGCTTTTTCTTACTGCTGGTACTTTGCTGCAATCTTGCCTGACTTCCTTCTCTCACTACAGACTGAGGTCATGGCATTGAGTGCTGTGACAGGAGTGAAATAATCTGGATGGCAACAGAGAAATTTATCTTTTCCTTTTCATATTTAAATGAGACAAAATGAAAAAAAGAAGAGTTAATGTGACAGAGACAGATATGTTTTAGCCATTGACCAAAGTTACTTTGTGTTGAATGTGGATTGTCAATGCAGGGTCACACAAGAAGCCACGGTATTTATTATATTTACTGTATTCCTATCTCGACTCTGAGCACACTGTGCACCTAAACATCTATAACATGTTTAAGATGTATAATACGTAATGGACAAATCCCTAAATCTGACTGATAGCTAAACTCAGAATCTAAAAATAAATAGTGAACAGCATCAAGCCAATGATTTCCCTAGGAGTTACTACTGATTCTTAGTGAATGTTGTTTAGCAAGACAAACTTTTCAGTGGAACATTTAAAGGGATGTGCATTGTGTTTGATTGGTATGTATTTGAATTTTGGTGCAATTGTCTGCTTCCACTGGCCTCCTGACATTGCCAGGATCACCCAGCTTAAGAGTGTCAACATTGCAAAAAGTAATCTTCGACTCCTCACCTTTTGGGGCCTTGTCTTTTCTCTTATGTTTAAACCTACATTTAACCTTTTAGCTTTCAGTTCCATTTCTGTTTTGGGCCACAAGCCTGAGATGTACCCACCTATCCTAGATCCTGATTCCATTCCTTGACGACGCTGGAGATTTTTTTTGTAAGAGATTGTCACAGACTGCTGTGAGCAACCTTGACCGCATATGGCCATTATTGTACCTCATCCCCAGGGACTCCTTCCAACTGAATAGCACCTGTTTCTGATATCACTCTGGTTGAGTCTGACCAAGTTTTGTGAGCAAACTCAGACAATGAGTTTACACCACGATAGCATTCTGTTTTCATCTATACTGCTAGATAAAGTCTGTTTTGAACCTGTAGGCTACTATTCACTTTGAAATCTACTGGAACAAACCAGTATCCAATGAAATACTATGTAAATTCCATACAGCCATTACTCCACTGATTCTTTTTTTTTTTTTTTTGAGAGATTTTCACTGTAGGGCGCGTGCGCTCGCCAGACAGACAGAGAGAGACATAGAGACAGAAAGCGAGAAATCACCCCCCAGGGGGGATGGTCACGCCGCAATCCCTTCTCCTCCATTCTCCTCTCGGGATCTTGGGCACGCACGCACATGCGCCCGGCGTGAGTTTCAAGCCACCGGGTCCGGGACACGAACCATGGTCGACTACGTGGGAGTCCAGCGACATAGCCATTACGCTAACTGCTGGTTTCCGCTTTCCACTGATTCTGACAACTGATCCTCTTCTAAGGCCTGTCTTGGTTTTACCCTGTCTATCCTTTTCCTGCACCAAACCATTTTATTCACTTATTATGCCACTTGGTAGTGAGATATTAATAACTCCTTAACCAAAAAGCCCTGTTTGTCATAATGTCTTTTTCTTCAATATGAAATCATTACCATTTTTAGAGCCTTTATGTGTATTCTTTTTTCTGTCTGCAGAATCCTTCTTCCAAAACTTTAAATAGGAAATTGCCACTTAAAATTGCTCTTAGCTCTTTATGAGACAGATTTTGATCATTCTTTCCAAGAATGTTCTCTTCTTAAAGTCTCTACCATCTCTCTTAATTTTATACCTTCTTTAGTTCTTACCATCATTTCAAAATTTTTGTAGTTTATATCTTTCCTATTTATCTAATTCTGACAGAATGTAGCTTCTTTGAGGCTGATACATATCTGCAGCATCAACTCAACAAATTTCTACTCAACAAATATTTGCTGAATGAAAAAGTAAAGCAAACTTCTCAGAAGATAAACTGTTGAACTGTTACATGAGAAAATATTAAAATGTGTCTGATTTCACCCTTTGTAATAGATAATATAAGAAAATGATTATTTCTGATATTGGGAATACTAGTATTTGTGGTATAAAATATGCCAAGTTTATAGGAAATCATTGATTATATATAATCATAAAATAGGAAGAGATAGAAGGACATGTGTGTGTGTTAGTATTTTTCTCAGAAAAAAAATGCATTTTTCCTAGGGACAAGATACACTTTGCATATACAGGTGTACCCCTATTTCTAGTCTCCTGAGAAATGAAAGTTCACAAAGTATTATTCATGTTCGTCTTAATTCCTGTACATGTAGGTACTATGTCCTTAGAAAGATCCAAGTACAACATCAGCTGCTGGCTTTGAAAAGACCATCAAAGGCGGTGAAGCCACAGGCTTTCCCCTTCATTTTATTTCTGCCAGGAGTTAGCTCTATGATCCTTGGAAAGACAGTTCACATTTTTGGATTTCCCTTCTTTTTTTTTTTTTAAGTCTGTTTGTTATTTATTTCATGAGCAAGAAAGACAGAGATAGAAAGTGAGAGCGATGGTACCCCCAATGGGCTCTTGACACTGCAATCCACCTCCCTGCATTCAGCCAGCCCTGGATCATGGGCCAACGTGTGCGCAGCACACTCAAGGAGATCTCCAGGTGGACCAAGACATCCCGGGGATCACCACACAATGTAGTGTGCAACTGGGCCACTGTCTAGTCACTTGGTTCTCTGCTCTAGTGACATGTGGGCCCCTTGTGCATAGGATAAATAGCATGTTCAGTCATTTATTGAGTTGGGTCTCCATTTATCTATGCTATTAATCACTGGCTATTACATTCCTGTATGTGCCATACAATATACTGTGCCTGACGGAGTTCCCATTACTTTATTAATCAGTCCTTGGTGTCTGTGCACGACTCCTGATGTGTGTCATGTGGAATATGGGTTTAACTGTGCATGCTTTTCTGTACAATATTTTGCAAGGATCACTTGTTACGCAAATTATTTTTGTAAAAGTTCAAGAGATTCCCATATCATGAATCTATTTTTATATTTCAGTAGCTCAGACTAACTATAATTCATAAGATATTGCCAAATAAATAATTGATTGTTTGAAAACTCAAGGTTGATTTCGATAGTTACTGAGATTATTATTGTTTATATTGGGATAGTAAACTAAGACTTCTTTAATAAATATGTCATGAGAACCAAGTTGGAGTGTGGTGATGGTGTTTTCATAATATTTAGGAGGTTTCTAAGGTTATTTGAAGCTCAGATATTACACTCTTAGGAGTGAGACACCTGAAGAGTATAAAAAAGTCTAATGTAAAGATGATGGAGAGAAGCAAAGAGCAATTTCATTAAACTGTAGATTTTATCCATTTTGAAGTGAGCTAGCATTTCTACTTGACTTTATGGCTGCATTTTATGAGCCTCATACATATCTTACATGAGATTTGCTGGAATCCACCTCCAGCAATATGAACTACTTTTATAGTTCATGGTATTAAAAGCAGTGATGAGATCCTAAAGGTTAAAGAGAAAATTTTTATCACCCACAGGCAGACTCTGCAACCTCACTCAGTAAAGATAATCATGATGAAGTTTACTGAGTGTTTTCCATGCATCAGGCATTGCTCCTTGTGTTTTACTTTCCTGACACATATCATTTTTCTATCCCCTCTATAAAATAAGTTTTATTATTTTTCCCAGTGAAGCATAAAGAGTTTGAGGGATTTGAACATAGTCATTCGGTGCAAGAGTTATGACTTGCACATCTGCTAAACTACTTGGGAGAACATGACTAGGCCAATGCAACAGAGCCTGTCGTCCTAAAACTCAGATGGCCGTGGAGCGGGCTAGGTATCTACTGCCGTGTGTGGGTGTGTGGTGGGTAGATTGGACATGAGGGAAGCATGGGATGAGTAAAACCAAAGTTAGAGGAATAATTCTACATAAGCCCTACATTCTGTGACTCAGGTCAAATTACAATTTACCAATAAAGTGATTTGTGACTGCACCATTCCCTAAGACTTACAATGTGCACATTCTTTTTCTGTGCTTCTGATGCCTCTTAGCTTAGTGAACAATTCTTTCTTAGTTGTTGGTGTCCATCAAAATGGTAAGATGTGTGACCTAAGAGTATGGCTCATGTGTTTTCTATTTCCCATGACATCAAGCATTGAATGGCAACACATATTTCAAAACTCTTTACCCACTGACTGACCTAAAGAATTATGTGAAATCAAATTGGGAAAAACATTTAATGTAAGGATGTTCCAACAGTCAGAAATAGTAGTAACTCAGAAGATGCCAGCTTCTTAGGATCATGGAAATTCAACCTCTTTCTAGGACTGTCAGCACTTTGTAGAGATCATGGCACAGATGGCAGAGAAGGGATTAACAAGAGTAAAGGTCTAGTTGAACTTCAGGATTGTATGTGCCTCTGATTTTCTGATTCCACCAATTCTATTGTAAAGATCCACATGTCTTCAAAAAATATTATGAAGCATGAGATGATCAGATATTAAGATAAAATAGTAGAAACTTTTTTGTATGAATTTAAAAAAATGTAAAGATGGGATCTTGGTAAGATGAATTATACTTAACTGGGTCCACTAAATAGCAGGCAGGCTCCTCTAAAACTATTACATATTAATGACATGGATAAATTAATATATAATAAGACAATTACAAATGAATAAAGTTGTTAAAATTTCTAATTATCATTCAAAAGTCTCATTTCTCCTGAAGTTCTAAACCTTAAGAAGGAATATCACTAGCAGTCACAAAAATGTGTTTACTAATTACTCTACTGCAACATTTTCTAGATATCCTGTTTGATAAATTCACTGTATTAGGAAGAAATTGTAGTTATACAAAAGTGAGTAAATATGACAATGTGAGACTTAAGTGCCTGGGAAATACAATGTTAGCCTGGCCCTTCACAACCCCTGCATGGTAATGGGTGAAGGGAGATCCAGAGGCTCTGAAAGAACCAGCCTTAAGAGTTCATCTCCTCTATTCTGTATCAAAACACCCACGCTTCCAATTGGTGGTTAGCGAGCAACACTTTTCTTTACAGAACTGTTCAATCTTATTGCATAAGAAGTTAATAAATGCCATTACTTAAGTTGTAATCACAAGAATAGAAAGTCTTTGGCAGCAGACAAAACACTTGCCCCAATTCTTTTTTTGGAGAGGTTTTTGCTATAGGGCGCGGGGGCTCGCCAGAAAGACAGAGAGAGACAGAAAGCGAGAAATTACCCCCCCAGGGTGGATAGCCACGCCACAATCCCTTCTCCTCCGTTCTCCTCTCGGGATCTTGGGCATGCATGCACATGCGCCCGGCGTGAGTTTAAGCCACCAGGTCCGGGACTCGAACCGCGGTCGACTATGTGGGAGTCCAGCGACATAGCTGTTAAACTAACTGCTGGTCCCAACACTTGCCCCAGTTCTTAAAAAACATTTTAAAAATTATAGAAAATAGCCAGCTTGTGGTATAGAGAGTAAGTGCTGCACAGAGGAAGCTGGATCCCACACAGTCGTCCAAGGTTTGAGTCCTGGCCTCGGCAGCTTAAACCACACACTGAGCATTCACATGCTTACTCAGGATTCTTTTTTCTTTTTTTAAATTTTATGTTCTTTTATACATTCAATCACATTATTTAGCTTACAAAGTGACTATTCCAACATGTGTACATTTCTCCCTAGTCCCGTGATAATACTATAAAATTATCTTCAACAGATAATACCACATTTCTTTGTCCCATTAATGCTTTGCCTTTCTATTTTTCTTCTAAATGTCTTTCCTCTGACTCTACTCCTTCATCCACACTACATCTGGTATTCACAACCGTTTACTGTGTTTCTGTATTCTTTAGTCAATCAGTTTCAGTCATAGAGTGTGGACACTCTTGTATATAATAGGTGGGGATATAAAACGTCTCTCCTTCATAGCCTGGCTTGCTTCACTCAGGATTCTGATGGGATAGTCAGAGAAAAAAGAACCGGTTACACCCAGGCCCCACTAGAGGGTGCTTTATCTTCTGATTGCACTTGTATGTACATATCCTCTGAGATTGAACAAGAAATCAAGAAATAAAGAAAAGAAAAATGCATGGCCTATTGAGAATAACATAACAAATATCAGGTAAATATGTATCTTAATTAAATGTTAAAAAGCATAGTTTTGATTACATAATATATGTGATATAGATATAAAATATATGTAGTATATTGATAAACATATACTATATTGCTATATGTACATTTTATAAAATGTATTGTGCATGACATGTGCACAAACATAAATATATATGTATGCATACACACACACACACGCACACAACCTATATGGATTATATACATGTGTATTGTGTATATCTAATGAAAGTATTATGTGTGTGTATATATATACACACACACACATGCATACACACACATACACACACATACACCCCTATCAGACTGTACAAATTCAAGTTAAAGGTTGTCTGTCAGAATCTGTGCTATTACTAAAGGGTAGAACATCTGGGATACAGCAGACCACTCTGGGTTATTATCCCTAGTATCATTCTACTAAGTCTTTTCCTAAAGGCAATTGCATCAGTGAATTTGATGGGTATGTGTTTTTCTACTTCACCTAGCTATAATTTTCTTAAAATGTATTTTGTGTATTTGAACAATGGGTAACTGTCACATATATACTTCTGACTTTCTTTTTTAAGGTTTTTTACCATACGGTACATGCACTTGCCAGAGACAAAGAGAGAGAGGCAGCGAGAGGAAAAGTAAAAGGTCGCCCCCCTGGGGGCGGGTGGTCACACTACAATCCCTTCTCTATCCTCCTCCTCAGATTTTTAGACAAACACATATATGCACCCAGCGTGATTTTTTTTCAAGCTGCCACATAAAGGCTTTAAATTGTGGTTGGCCATGTGGGAGTCCAGTGCCTTAATCAACCTGTCACCTGCTAGCCCCAGTTTCTGACTTTTTAACTTAATGTTGTAAGTTGTAGGGGTATCTATGAATGACATAAATTTGTTTATTCAAATATTAAATTTTGATTACTTTTTCAAAATGAGTAAAGAAAATATAGAAAACTTGCACGTTAATGCTCCTAAACGTAAGATTATTTTCATTTTAATGCAAACATTGTGATATTTAAGGCCCTTGTGTATGTTTCCAGATGTACACAGATAAGTAAAACTTCTAAGATACTAAGATTTTAAAACTGGTTCTAAGAAATCAATATCAAGATTACTCTTGTTTGCCTCATAACTCATCTGCCTGGAGTTAATGCATTTCATCTCAGTTGGTGCTTTTAAGCATGTTTAGCTGTAGTATTACAGAACAAATGTACCAGTAACGTGAAAAATGAAGCCATGGATTCACAAAGACTGAGTGTTCAGTCAATTTACTGTCGCAGCACAAACAAGAAGAAAATTGGATTCCAAAAGGAATATCAAACATTCATAAATTTTATAATCATCATATGAGCACAGCATCCTGAATTTCATTCATAAACCAGAGGCAGTAATGAACATACTTAGCTTTTTCTGTTAAGTTCTAAGTTGCGATTGTTCATGGATGGAAACTTACCCTGTCAAGAGCTGCTTTCTCCAGTTCATTTTTGGCTACAGCTAATTTTTGTTCCAGATCAGTAAGTTGCTGGGCCTATAACATAAAAGAAATGCAAATATTTTCAATAAGTTTTATAATCTTCCCATCTACGATTAGCCTCTGTCATTTATTCACAGTGCATTATAAAGGAGAGAAATAACATAAAAAGAAAGAGAGAAAGAAAGAAAATAAGAATGTTTACCTTATGAGATTCACTTAGAATTCAAGTCATCAAGACACTGTACGGTCGTTTGAGTAGTATACAGAAAATAGTCTGTCCTGGATGAATGGGTACTAAATGCTTCCCTGAAACAAAATGTCTAGTTCCAAAGTTCCAGTTCAAGTCCTTCATGTTACTGCAGCCCGAGGAGACTAATACACCCATAGTCACCCTCTTTTTATGATCGCGTTTTAAGTCCACAAATCACTGCATCTCTTCCTTTGCAAATATCAAAACTACCATTAAAAGAGAAAAGAGCAATACCTCAGATTTGGGAGATGCATATTGAATTTCACATCTGCCACTTCCTACCTATGTGTCTTGGGAAAAGCACTTGACTTTTCTAAATGTTAAATGAAAATATTTTTCTAGACCAAATTACCAGGACTGATAGGAGGAATATGAAGGCTCGCAAATTGAACTATCAGCATTCACAGAGCATTTGCACCCCTTTAGTTCATTCTATTATTATTCAATTCATCCATTTATTATTTGACCAATCTCCATATTCTCTATTATTTTAGGTACTCTGTTAGACCCTGGGAATTACAAAGGTTACAAAAAAAATCATTCAATCATTTAATAATTCAATAAATATTATTAAACTTGTTCTACATATTGAAAATTATTCTCTGCGCTGATGCAACAATAGGAGAGAAAAAAATCCTTGTCCTTGAAGAGAAAAAAAAACAATATGTATATATGATTACACATATATATGCATACATATATATAATGATACATACATGCAATGATCATACATATAATACATACATATATAATGATTATATATACATGCATTATACATGTATATTTATAATCACATATGCATATATGGATATGTATGTCACTATCTAGTGATAGCTGCTATTGAGAAAATAAAACTCAAAGAAAAAAAGAGAATATGAAATATTAATAACCCACATCCCAAACCTTCATTTCAAACATTCTTAGAAACACATTTGGTCATATAATTTTATAGATCCTTCCATCAAAAGGTAAATTCTATTTCCCTTTACACTGATTCTAATTGTGTTCTTGTATGGTACTTAACCAACAGGATCTAGAAAACTCACAAAACTGGGCTTCCTCTGTGGCTCCACTGACATTCCTATGAGAAGGACATGACTGAACTAACCTGCTAGAGCGGAACTGCACAGTTAGGCTCCTATGAGTAAGCCCGGCTTATGGTCAAGCTACCAGCTGCTAAGCAAGCCTGTGGATCATCAGAGTCGATCATGGGTATGAACCCAGGCCATTCCACTGATCCTCAAGCAACTGGAGTGTGTGGGGGCTATTAAGGAAGAATTGTTGACCTAGCAGTGTTGGTACAGGTGGTAGTGCACTGCTGGGCGGTCCTGGAGCCACGAGGCTGGGTGGGGGTTGGATGCCATGTTGACCTAAAACACACTGAACGACATGTGCTTCTGTGATCCTGGCTGGTTGGAAGGCTGGCAAGTGAATTATAGAACAAGGGGATCCTGTCATGGGTTTCTCATGCTCTCTCTCATAAAAGAATAATTTTAAAAAGGAAGTAGTTTTCAATTTGGGGGTTTGGGTTGCTTGTCTCACAGTACAAGCTAATTCATATAGGTATGGGTTATCAAGAAAACTCTTCTGATTAGATAAATGGGAACAGAGACCTAAATGATGAGAGGCGAAGCATGTTTGAAATTTTTATGACGTTGCATTTGAAAGAAGCCTACTCCTTCTGAGTGAAAACAAGGCTATATATCCACATCATGTTAACAAGAGGAAAGTAATAGTAAACAAAGATAGGGAAGGGAAAGATAACTTAGTACCTTACCTGCTAATGATGAACTACATATTGTTCTTTCTAAAATTTTGCCAGAGGATGCACGTGCTTGCCCAAGAAAATAAGAGAGAGAGAGAGAGAGGGAAAGGCACAAGGCACCCCTCCTCCCGTGGGGCACGGTCATGCTGCAATTCCATCTCCTCCATTTCTATCTCCTTTTGGGATTTTGAGCAAATAGCTACACACATCTGGTGTGTTTTTGTAAGCTGCCAGTCTGGACATTGAGTTGTGCAGTTAGACAAATGGGATCTGGTCATCTTAACCAGCAGACAACTGGTAGTCCTGTCAATTTATCTGAATTCTGAAAATTAGATCTCTGAAATCAAGGATAATGTTATTTCAGAGAATATAGTATAATTCAAGAGCAGCTTTCATTTGAATTTAGTCATTTAATAATATTTATAAGTAATTATTCTAAGATTAGTGAAGACAATTTGCAAACATAAAGTTGAAAATACGTAAGGAGTCATGCATATGAAGTCAAAATCTTCACACAAGATTAGAATTACTAGGCTGGAGGAGCGTGCAAGATGAAACCGAGAAAAAAGAAAGACTTCCTCAGTGTCTCCTGAGAAGTCAGAGAGTGTCTTCTTTCTGACAGAAATTACACAAAATAAGATTTATTTCTTTTATTATAACATTTATTTATTATAGGTGCATTTCTTATGTGAACTTTATTACCAGGTTTAGAAACTAGAGTTTATATGATGATTCTTAATTTTATTAGAAAACTATGGAACTTCAGAACTATTTTTATGTATTTATGTATTTATTTATTTGTTTATTTATTTATTGTTAGTTTTTTAATTGCCAGAAGGCATGTGTGCTTGCCAGAGAAAAAAGGAAAGACAGACCACGTGTTGGTCATGTGGGATCAGGCTCCTTTAACCACTTGGATGTGGGGCTGGCCCTTCAAGTTTTGATAGATCCAGAAACACTGAAACTTAATTCAATTGCACGTCTGCTTACTCTTTGTCTAGAGTTCCTGAAGCAATTCTTTGCTACCACTCTCCTAAGAATTGACCTTAAGTTGAGCTTCATTCCAAAGGATAGAACTAATGGTGTTTTTAATACAAAAACTATCTATTTTTTTCTTCTAAGACACATGAAGATCTAGCTGCTTTGGATAAAGCAGAAAATTGAATCTGAAATTTCAAAAAATCATTTTATGAAATTTTGGCAAGTAGCTAAGTCTGCAAGTTCAAATTCAGTCAGACATTAGGTTTGTGATCCAATGTTTCTCAAAACCTCACTAATGCAATTCATTTCAATTAATTTCCCATCCCCCTCCCTTTAAGGCAAACATATCCAACTGTCTTCCTTTTAATTTTTCTGTTGTGTTTCTCTGAAATGTATACAGGCTTGTATACTTATTAAAAGTCTGAAATCTGAAATGCTCTAAAATCCAAAAGGTTTTGAGGGCCAGTGTGACACTACAAGCAGAAAATCCCACACCTCTCTTCACATAAACATTTGCAGTTGAAAGGCAAACAACAACACAAGAGGAAAAGGCCCTCCAGAATCCTTCAGGTGTCACACAGCTCTTCTGCACATACCCACATTTCTTCATGCAAGCAAGTCCACCAGGCACAATATTGTTAAAATACAAGTGTTGTATAAAATTACTTTCAAGCTACATGTGTAAGATATATGTGACAAATAAATAAATTTTTAAGTTTAGATTTGAGCCCCATCTCCCAAGAGACACCCTTTGTATACACAAATATTTCCCCCAAATTAAAATCCCCCAAATCTGAAACTTTTCTTTCCCCAAGCCTTTAGAATAAAGTATATTCAAGATGTAGTCTATGAAAAATATGTCTAAAAAGGACATATTTTACCTTCCTCTAAAAAGGATTTATTTTCATTTTCACATTAAAAATAATCCTACTTTTTTTTTTTCTGGAGAGGTTTTTGCCATAGGGCGCGTGCACTCACCAAAAAGACAGACAGAGACAGAGAGATAGAAAGCGAGAAATCACCCCCTGGGGGGATGGCCACGCCACAATCCCTCCTCATCTATGCTCCTCTCAGGATCTTGAGCACGCACGCACATGTGCCCGGCGTGAGTATAAGCCTCCAGGTCCAGGACTCGAACTGCAGTTAAATACATGGAAGTTCATCAACATAGCTAACTGCTGGCCCCCAAAATAATCCTATCTTAAAAAAGAAATAAAGCACATCTGGTCTACAGGTAAGTTATACAACACGATGCCTCTTGACTGGTGTGTGAAGGTAGGGTAAGGATAGCAACAGCAGAAGAGGCTGTGATTCTGAGGCTATAAATTTTCGGTTGTCTTGGCTGAGCTGTAAATTTTTCTACAAAACTTCTGGAGGTCAGATGAAATAAAAACCTAAAAGATTGACTCCAAAATTCTCATTATCAAAGATAGTAAACAGACTGGAGGCGCAGAATGTGCAGGGACTTTCCAAGTAATCAGTTCTAAAATAACATTTTAACAGACAGATTTTATAATTCAACACAGAAACACATTTTTTTCAAAGCCGACAACCCAAAGACATGGTTATTATTCATCCTCAACACCCAGAACACCTGGAGTATGTCTGTGTGTGTGTGTGCATGTGTGCATGTGTGTGAGTGTGTGCATATGTGCTCACCCACCAAAATGCAGAAAGCAGGATGAGCAATTGATGACTGACTTGCCTCCCAGTGCACACACAATTACTCCACTTTTCCCCACCCTTTCCAGAGGACGAAATGAAATACAAGTAAGTGAGTAATAGCTCAGACTACAACATGTGAGATTATGTGCCTCATAGCAAAGTAAAAAAAATATATGTGTGTGTGTGTATATATATATTTAAATTTTTTTTTAGAAAAATGAACCCCTTTCCCTTGCCATGGAATGGTAACAATTAGCAGTACCATATGCAACTCTACTAGATAGAGTTGCATATGGTACAGAGTTGTATATGGTACTGCTAATTGTTCCTCCTTGTCCAGTGAGCAGAACTGACATACAGTAGTGAAATATCTCACTCAACATCACTCAGTAT